GGTATTGCACCTCGATGTGTTTTGTGCCCCCATGATGAATGAGGTTCTTAGAGAGGGCGATGGCTGATATTTTGACCACGTAGAACGGCGTAGGGTGAGTTTGCGGCTGCCCCAAGTCCTCCAAGAGTCCATGTAACCAGATTGCCTCCCTTGCTCCCTCGGTCATTGCCATGTACTCAGGTTTGGTTTAAGAGAGTGCAACACAACTCTGCTTCCTTGATTGCCAAGAGAGTGCTGCACCACACAAAACCGCCGGTTGACTTGCGCGTGCTCGAATCTCTTGCCAATGCATCGGTAAAGCCTTGCGGGGAGCACGCATCCGAGCTAGCTTGGAAGAAAAGACCAAGATAAGAAGTACATTTAAGATAACTTAGTGCTCTCTTGGCTTCTTGGATGTGGATGTGTGATGGTGTACTCATATGTTGGGCTAGCTTATACACCGTGAATGCTAGGTCGGGCCTTGTACATAGGGCTCCATACATGAGACACCCAACCTGACTTTGGTAAAGGGCTACCTCTTGTGAAGACACCTGAGATGAATCCTCACCATGTCCTTCACTTTCCTCATTATGCAACTCCTCGCTACCCATGACATCACTCTCAATCCTTGACTCTTCCTCCTCATAGGGCTGGAATGTAGACAATGGGATGAAGTTGGAAGGAAGTGGGGTAGGTGAAGGCTTGCAATTCTCAAGATCAAACCTCTCAAGTACCTTTTGAATGTACCTTAGCTGAAATAGGAAGATGGATCCTGACTCATGGTCTCTCACAATATGCATACCATGACTTGGCTCATCGAGGTGGGTTATGGTGAACGCACTCATGAGAATTCCTTTGACTTGGTTCACAAGGAATTGGGGACCTGAGACAAGGAGGAGGTCATGTACGTATACCAAGAGCCAAATAGACTCTCTCTCACTCGTGTACGTAAAATACAAAGCGTTGTCCCTCATGGACCTTGTGAAACCATACCTTCTCAAATGCATGATACCATACCTTTGGGGACTGTTTGAGGCCATAAAGGGACTTTACCAAGCAACATACTCGGCCCGTACCATCATCATAACTTTCGGGCTGAGACATGTATACCTCTTCCTCCAAAACACCGTAGAGGAACGCATTCTTGACATCCATTTGGCAGATATGGAGACCAATATATGTGGCAATGGCTAGAAGGACTCTCACCTTGGTGTACTTGGCTACCGCGGCAAAGGTTTCATTGAAATCCAAACCTGGAATTTGGAAGTAACCTTTTGCCACTAACCTTGCCTTGTACATATTGAGGGTACCATCACCTTTCACCTTAATCCTATAGACCCACTTGACACCAATGATGTTCTTCCCTAGGGGTAGTGGAACAAGATACCATGTACCTCTTTGCATGAGACTTTCTATCTTCTCTTGCTCGGCCTTTCTCCATTGCAGATTTTCTTTGCTCGCCATGGCCTCTTGACGACGTGATGGCTCTCGAGGAAGTTGGGATGCTGCCATGCATATAGCTGATACCTTCTTGTGAATGCACTCCTCACTATCCTCACATGTGCACCTTGACATATCAACCATGAACGTGAACAGCTTTTTGACCTTGTGAACTCGTTTATCTTTACCTAACTCCTCACTTGGCTGAGACACTTGTGATGTGGCACTTGCTCTCTCACTACTTACTTGGGCTGGTATGTTAGCCGGTGGTGTATGTGACGGCTGCGATACCGGCTGCTGCATCACGGCTATGGGGACTTCTCCTTGAATGTCACTTCCTCAAGCGTTTGTGTTGACTTGAAGCGGAATAGTAGTTGAGACTTTCTGTGGTGGAGCTGAAATAGTGGGTGGATGAGATGGTTGTGGCGATGCTCTTGGTGGGGACCTTTAGAATAGGAGCTTGGGAATTGATGTCAGACTGTTGAGTGGTGGCATTAGTTGCTGCGAGCTAACGCTTCTTGGTGGTGCTGAAGTTGACGAAACTTGACGATGACCGATTCCAGGACGCGGTGGTGAAGCTGAAAGTGGTCTTGGATGAAGAAAGGGGCTGTTGGAGCTGGTTTTCATGGTGACTCGCTGAAGAGATCCTTGTGCTAGAATCTGGCTTGAAGCTGGGCAGTGAAGGGATGAACGGGTGGGCGGATGTGATGGCGGCAGTGACGACGGTTGTCTTGGAAACTGGCAGAACTTGGGGTGATGTTGAGATGGGTTGGCGGAGACTTTGAGATGTTGAAGGCTGCTGCATGAGAGGCTGGTTGGCTGCTGAAGTGGTCTCTGGAACAGTGGATGATGCTGGTGGTGAGGGTGTACAAGACGGCTGCTCCAGAGGAGGCTGAACTTCGGCACATGGTGTTGGTGTAGATGGCTGGTTCGTGGTTTTGGGTTGCTGCTTGGTTTGATGACGATGAAGAGGTGACTTGCTGCGGCTGATGTTCTTCATTACGTGGCTGATCCTTTGCTACATTTGGATGAGTAGTTGCCAGCGGCGATGGCGTGGCACGGCTGGTCTCCCTCGTGACGACTTGAGGTAGAGTGTTGATGGGTCCACTATTGTCCGAGTTGGTATCATCCTCTTCCTCCTCTTGAGCTTCTTCTTCACCATTGCTTGCTGGTCCCTGCTGGATAAGGGGTGGAAAAGAGGGAGAAGAGGAATATTTGAGCCAATCTGCAAGAGACATGTCTTCATAGAAGACAACATCCCTTGAAAGAGTTTCTCGCTTGCTGATGGGATCCCAAAGGATCCGTCCTTTGCTCTCCTTGCTCATGCCGATGAAGAGTCCCCGATGAGCCTTGCTGTCCAACTTGAGTCTCTTAGCATCTGGAACACGGTATTGGGCCATGGAACCAAAAACTCACCTCCAAACTAAGCTTTATATGGCATCACTCCATCCGGTAAGGGCTTTGAAGGCCTCCGATTTCTTACATAGATAGCCATAGTGATAGCCTCTCCCGACCAAACCTTATCAAGACCCTTAAATCAAAGGAAAGTAGTAGCAATAGCTCGAATGGTGTCCGTTTTGTTGGGGAGTTTAAGGACAAGTGATTTGTTGCTTGATGCCCAATGCCATTAACTCCCCTTGAAATGCTTTTCCCATATGCTCACCACCTCTATCTGACCTTAGAGTCACGAGTCTCTTACCGGACTCTCTCTCAACAAGTGCTAGCCAATGCTTGAAACACTTGTGCACTTCATCGTTCGTGTTGATAAAATATGGTTATGAAAACCGTCTCTTTTTGTTGATGAAAGAAACCAAATATCTCTTACCTTCGCAAGTAGGATCTCTCATAGGTCCAAACGCATCGGTGTGGACAAGCTCCATGAGATCTCTTGACTGAGATTTAGAAGGAAAGAAAGGCTCGCGTGCTAACTTACCTTTGACACACGACGGACACGGGACGGACAATAGAGACTTGGCTGCACTTTCACTCAAAGTCATTCCTTCCACACTCTTGTGACTCACTAATTCTAAGTGCCAAACGTGCATGCCATACCTCAGCAAGGGAAGTACTCCCTTTCATGTTGGTTGGGTCGGGGAAACAACGGGAAGCGAGACAATGGCACTCCCCGTCATGCTAGGACTTGGTTTGGCTGCTTCTCGAGTGTAGTATGGCCATAGCTCGAGCAAGGACGAGGTCAAATCAAACTCGGTTGCCCATGTCGGGAAATCCTTGCCGTTGAACTTGGGGAGATGGAATTTGGGCATAAACGAGGTGAGAGATGAGTACGCCGCTGAAGGATGGCTGGGACTGCTGCTTCCATAACTCTGGTAGCTGCTGATGTTGATTTCGATGCTGCTGGGGTTGACTGGGCTGCTGGAACTGATGGTTCCTTGCCGACCATGCTTGGAGAGGCAAGGATAGGAAGGTGGAGGACTTGTATGATCGAAACGACGGGCTCTGACACCAGCTTGAAAAAAGGGACGTTTTGGGTGCTTACTCAACTAGAAACACAGCTGAAAAATCTTTGGATGCTTACTTGACTCAAAGAAATAGCATAAACTTCACTTAACTCAAGGTTGTACAAAGCCCTCTAAGACACTTGCACTAAGGCAAGACTAGGAAAACAGATTGCTAGCTCAAACTGGGCTGGAGCATATTGGAAATACCTCGAGAACTTAAGCGTTTCTGAAGTGTAACACTACACTCGAGGAAAGTCGTATCGGGTACGCGAGTCAACGGAGGTTACACGAGGAGGTTGGACGAAAGAATACGAAAGGGCGAAGGAACTCAAAGGGCCACAACCGGAGGTTGCGATTGACCGTTGCGATTGCAAGGGTGGTAACCGAACCGACAATCGAGTCACTGTGAGACTCGATAACTGTTCCTTCAACTGAATTCTACAACTACTTCATTTCTTACTTTCTATATATTGCTGTATGCTTGTTTCTTTAATCAATCACTTGCTCTCACATACTAGTGCAAGGGTTCAACTACTCAACACTTCCACTGCACTACTCAAGCATTTCATACAAGTGGGACTTAGTCTCTGAAAAGATCCTAGGGCTTTTCTCAGCCCAACATGGTATGAGAACTGGTCAGAGACCAAACTCCCGTCAACAACATCCTATCTACAGTCAGCATATCAAAAGCTTCATCGACTACAAGACATGGACAACAAGGGCAAGAGGTCTTCTACGGGCTCACCCAGCGCCCAAACTACTCAACCCGGCACCTCTGGACTACACATTTCAGGACTACAAACCGAGACCGGCGCTGCTCAAGAAACAACAGGAAGAGTACCAGGAATGGTGACCCCTTCACCCTCTTCAGGCGTGGACCCAAACCTAATGGAAAGGTTCTTTAGCTTCATGTCCCACTTCGAGCAGCATCAGCAGACAGGGACACCTGCACATTCA